TCTCTCCCCCCTCCAGCCTGTTGACATTTGCCAAAAAGATCCAGCCCGCGGAGCCCCAGGAGCCCTCTGCGACGACCATGAGCAAGAGAAGACCCAGCATCAGCTCCATCGGCTCGGCACAGTTCAAGGCCGCTGCCAAGAGCGCTAGCACGGCGCAGAGTGAGTAGTTGTTGCATGAACATACTCATACATACACAGGCGCACGTACGCATACGCACACACACTCACACACATACGTGCACACGCATACATACACAGACATACGCATACACATTCATACATACCGAGACATACACATGCACACGCACACACACACACACACATACATTCACACAGAGACACACACACAGGCACACAGACATACACACACACAGACACATGCACACACACACGTGCACATACGCACAGACATACACACACACAAACACACAGACATACACACAGACACACACACACTCACACGCACAGACACATGCGCACACACACACACATGTGCACTTACGCACAGACACACATACATACACATACACACAGACATACGCATACAGGCATGCATGCTCACACACACACACACACACACCCACATATTAAAAAGTACTAGTCCCATCAAGCAAAAATTCCTCCACCCCCTTTCCTCCATTCTCCCCTCCCCTCCCCTCCTCACTCCTCCCCTACCTCTTTCACTCCTTCCACCTCACCCCCCCGGGGCTGTGCTACTGACTGAAATGTCTTTAGGCCATTCCCAAAGGGGGGACATTAACATCTCGAGTTCTTATGCACAGTAAAATTGTAATTGTAAATGGGCTGATTCGTCAATGTCATATTCATAACTGTGCCTGAACTACAACAGGGAACTACTGCTTTTCCTTTCCTCATCCTTACTGTCGTCATTTCTTCCTCTACTTCTTTTGTATGTTTGTCACACTCTTGTGACCCGCTATTTCCGGGGTGCCTTGACCTTGATAGTTGAAGACAACTTTGTGCTGTTGAAGCTAGAGAGGTGAACAGAGTAAGCCTGACTCCCTGTAAGGACTTCTCTGTTGACATCCACCCCTTGGCGCTCATATGACCTTATGCAGTTGCGAGCGCCGAAACATCTCTACTAAAACAAAAAGC